CAAAGCCGTTTGAACTGCAAGGTCAGCAGTTCAAGCTCACCAGCTGCTCCTTGGAAATGCTATACAGGATTACCATGAGTCGGAATCAATTGTTGTTGTTGTTGTTGTTGTTGTTGAACTGCCGACCTCGCAGTCCAGCACACTAACCCACAATGCCACACCAGGACTCTTCCAGATTAACAGAAGAGTCGTTGTTGTTAACTGCTGTCAAGTCAGTTCTGACTCATAGGTTTCCAAGGAGCGGTTGGTGAGTTTGAACCACTGATCTTGTAGTCCAGTGCATATCCTACAACGCCACACCAAGATCCCAGAGAACTTAATGATTGCTGTTATTAAGTGCCATCGAGTTGGTTCTGTCTCATAGGGACCTGATTCATAAGGAGTTTCTGAAGAGCAGCTGGTTGATTTGAACTGCTGACCTGTGGTTCACAGTCTGGTGCCGATTCTACAGCACCACAGCAGAAATACAAACTATTAAGCATGTCCTTCGAGCTGGAGTCAAACTGACAATCTAAGGATGCCCAATCGTTTGCTGTGTATCGTCCTCCACTTTACCAGCTGAGCTATGGAAAGGTGTGTGGGAACTTTAATGTTGCTGTTGTTGTTGTTAAGTGCTATCGAGTGGATTCCGACCCATAGCGATCTTGTACAGGGTTTCCAAGGAGCAGCTTGTGGGTTTGAACCACTAATATTGTGGTTCAGTCCAGCGCTGATACTACAGCGCCACACCAGGAGTCCTCACCCATTTCAACACACAACATATTAACTATGCTGTGTGACCTGAAGCAAAAACACACAAGGCCTCCAGCAAAAGCTGAACAAATCCTGAAGGACTGCTCTGCTTGCGGCTCCCTTTTGCATTTTCCAGAGTCAGAGAGACTGGCTTGTTTTCAGCAGCAGGAAAAGGGCACACCCTGCAGTCGGCACAGGTGGTGGGCCCTCTCTTCTGCCAATCTGCTTGGAACCTCCAGCTTTAGGAATTACTGAATGCTTAAGACCAAGCAAGTGCTGGACCACATGTCTCACTGACCCTAAATTTATCAAGCCAGGGAACATTATCCCAGGGAGATTATAATCCAGAAAAGGAAACTAGCAAACTGCAAAGTACCCCAATACCTCCGTTTCCTTTGCTACAAACTAAGAGGGTATCATCTCTCAGCACTTCTGAAGTGGTCATAATATTTTCATTGGATCTGGGCACTGGACTGCTAACAACAGGGTTGGCCATTCAAACCCACCAGCCACTCCTTGGAAATCCTACGTTGCTGAGCGCCAACAAGTCCGTTCTGACTCATAGCAACCCTGTAGACAGTTTCCAAGGAGCTGCTAGTGGGTTTGAACGGCTGATGTTGTGGTTCACAATCCAGTGCTGATCCTACAGTACCATAACAGGAGTTCTGGAAACCCTATACAGGGTTACTATGAGTCGGAACTGACTCCATAGCATTTAACAAGAACAACACAACAGCGATATTTAAAGATTATCATGAATTGTGACTTGAGGCTTCAACTCAGTACTTATTTATTCAATAAGTGTTTGTTAAATACATATTATGTACCTAGTATTGTCTTGAAAATTTAGTCAATATGAAAGGGGCTTCAAAAAGTTCATGGAAAAATTCCATTATCTTCCAATTAAAATTTCCAGGAATATTTTGATGCCTTTTTGAATATAAATAAACTATATTCCTGACCCCAAGGAGCTTGTAATATAGCAATGGCAAAGGAA